TTGAGGGAAGAAGACAAATTACATGTGTCTGAAAACAAAGTGGCCTGGAAGAATGAAGTGAATGAGAATAATTTAGGACATCATGTTCAAAAAACTTTTTGATGGTTGCAGGATGCAGTAGTTGTCTAAGATGAGATGGATGGATGTTGTTAGGCTGGAGGAGTCAAAGAATGTGAAGGCAGAACTTTGGCGGGGAAACCTCTTGGAAAATTTATGTCGTCTTGGAATATATCCACTTTTAAATCCAAAAACAATGTTGGGGAATACCTTTAAGATTGATTTGAGAGAGCTAGTTTTTGACTAGTGAAGTGTTACGTATGGAGTGTCGCGCTGTATGAAGCAGAGACTTGGACACTCAGGAAGAAGGAACAGAAATACCTGGAGAGTTTTGAAATGTGGTGTTGGAGAAGAATAGAGAAGATCAGGTGGACGGATCGAGTGACCAACGAAGAAGTATTGAGGAGAGTCAACGAGCAAAGAAACATTCTGCAGGCGATTACACGAAGGAAAGCTAACTGGCTGGGACATATTATGAGAAGAAATGGATTACTGAGTGATATCACCGAAGGCCAGGTTGAAGGAAAGAGAGGACTAGGAAGAAGATTGATACAGCTAACCGACGACCTTAAACAAGGAAAGAAGATGACGTTCCAGGAATTAAAGCGAGAAGCCGAGAATAGGGACAACTGGAGAGCTCTTTTTGGGCAGAGCAATGGACCTGTCGTAAGACAGAACACTTAATAAATAAAATAAAGTTTTTGATGATAGGAGATGGATGGAACTGGCTGAGGATCATGTCCAGATGTGGGCTTCAATATTGATGGCGTTGAACCTTTGGGTTCTGCTATAGCAGTCATCTTTCTTTTTTCATTTGATGTTGTATAACCTGTTCAGTTGGCAAATCACCTTTGCCCTTTCTGTGCTAAATTCTTCATTAGAATGATATGGAAACTTTAGAATTAAGTTTGTAGGGAGCTGCGTTATGAAAGTGAAAACAGCACAGGTTTCTCTTCGCTGATAACATTACATACTTTGGGCATACAGGAAAGAAGGGATTGTTTTATTCTTACGTGATCTTATTTATAGTGTTGTAATAATGAAATGACAATGAAAGAAATCTGAATGACGAGAGAGGGTTGAACACTTATGTGTGGAAGATGATGTCTGCAACTTATTATGTGGATGAAATATCACATTTATCATTCGTCCATGTGCCTAGCCGCAACTTATTATGTGGATGAAATCTCACATTTATCATTCGTCCATGTGCCTATGTCTGCGTTCTTGCACTCATAAGTACTGTAATATTTCCTGACCTTTTCTACAAATGATCACATTGTATGTCTTTTCAAGAGTCAGATGCTAAGTACACCAGTTACAATGCTTACTTCTGCGTTTTAGTGTGAGGGTAAGCAGTATGACCAGAAGTCAGATATCTGGGCCCTGGGCTGCATCCTGTATGAAATGGCGTGTCTGCAGAAAACCTTTGAAGGCTCTAACCTGCCAGCACTGGTGAACAAGATAATGAAGGTATGGGCATTCTGCGATGGTAATTTATGTTGGTTGGTTGATTGTAAATTTGTCTATGGTGGTCAAGTTATCACAAGGTCCGTTATCTCTGTGTGTCATCAGGGTCACTTCCAGCCCGTACCCGGTGGCTACTCTCCTGGCTTCCGTCAGCTGATCCACGATCTGCTACAGAGAGACCCGGCATTCAGACCCACGGCAGCAGAGATACTCGACTCTCGTTTACTCCTGCTGCTGGACTCGCTGAAGGAAGGAGGAGGAAGAGATTGGTTTCTGGACCATGATGGTTCTGTACCAAATTTAAAAGCTTCCTGTAACAGGTAGCTGCATATTATATATTCCATGTGCAGTTAACTTATTGCCTCCATGGAACACAGTCCTTAAAACTCGTATGTGCTTGTTGAGGCTTCAGGTTCTCACAGCAGCAAGTATGAAGATGACAGCCTTCTGAGATATTGCACCGCGTAATCTAGTAGAAGCTGACGAAGTTTTAGAGGTGCGTACTGCCTTCATCTTCAGAGGAATCTCACGATATTCCAGAAAGCTGTCATCTTCATACACTGTCTCCATCCTTTATGAGTCTCAAAAGTTCATTACCATATTCACAAAAGCCCAGTGCTAGACCCTGTCATAAGTAATTTGATTCCAGTTTACATCCACACATCTTTATTTTTTAAGACTGAGTTTTAATATTATCCACCAAAGTCTTACAAACCTGCATGCTGGTTGTTTTGATTGAGGTCCTGCATGGTCACATTCCCGCCAGGAATATTACCTTAAAGTGGTTCATGACTACTTGTATGTTATCAAATAATCTAAGAAACTAACCACTCCTAAGGCATGTGTGTTTCACTACATTTAAACCCTTGTCATTTTTTATGTTTCATGCTGCTCAAACAGGAATTCCAAACCAGAAAGGTAAATATTATCTTATTTTAAAGTAATTTTTAATATTAAAAAATTTGCAGCATTTGAATTATCTTTAAGACTGGTAAGATCACAAAGAATTTGATTGGAAAACGTAAAGGGATGACACCACTGTACACATATGTGTGAGAATAATATTAAAATGGATTTTAAGAAAATAGGGTAGAAGGGCGTGGACTGGATTTGTGTGTCTCTGCATATGGAACTGTTGTGGGTTATGGTGTGTGGTAATGAACCTTTGCAGTCCATGAAATGTGGGGTACATCATGACTAATTTAGAGACTGTGAACTTCTGAAGAAGAACCCTACTCCATGTAGTTAGGTAGCAACTCATCCTGTTATATTTTAATGAGTAAAATTGAAAAAAAGCAAGAGATAATTATTTGATATTTCTTTTCTTGGTGCAGTTTCAGTTGTTGTTTTGTTTTTGTTAGGTCTGTGTTGTATGACCTGAAGTCGTATGAGTCGGCAATTGCACTGACACCAATCCAACTGCCACCACGCAGTAAAGTGACAGAGGTTGCTGTCAGCAGTACACACATCATCGTTCTAACCTCAGGTCCTCTTACACTGCACGATAACTGTCTGCACATTCAAACACTGTTGACTTGTTATCACTCGGCACTGGGCACGCTGTACAAATCTTAATGTGGATATTTGCAAATTACTTCCTTGTGTACTAATAACAAACCTGACTCATTAGTACTGATGAGACTGTGAATGGTTAGATTAAGAAGGAAGATGATCTCACAAGTTAGTTGAAAGTACTCCCTAACGTCACCTAAAGAGACAGAATGATACCTCGAAGTTTCAAAAGAAGCATGAAAATTAACTTCTTAAGATATTCATCATCAGGATTTCACCTCAGAACTTCAGATTGCGATCGTCATGTATTCGGTGGCTGTATACAGTGAAGTGTGATAGTGTTTTGAGTCGTTTAACATGCATGATTTTGCCAGAAAACCTAAATGTAGGATAATATTAATGTCAAAGTAGGGTGTAGCTCAGAATTGAGTCCAATGGAAAGTTTTATGAATATGGTAATGCACCTTTGTGTTCCTTAAAATGTGGGTACATTAATGACTACCTGAACTATTATTAACTTAGATTCTCACAGCAACAAGTATGAAGTTCATTGTGAGATTTGAGATTTTCACAGCGATGAGTATGAAGATTTCTGTCTTCTGGGTTGTTGCGCCGTGTAGTCTGGTCGATGTTAACCAACGTTTCAGAGGTCATACTGCCTCCATCATCAGGGCAATGAGTATGAAGATTTCCGTCTTCTGGGTTGTTGCGCCGTGTAGTCTGGTCGATGTTAACCAACGTTTCAGAGGTTGGAGGCATTATGACCTCTGAAACGCTGGTAAACATCAACCAGACTACACAGCGCAACCACCCAGAAGACAGAAATCTTCATGCAGTTCATTGTCTTCTGGGTTGTTGTTGTGCTTTGTAGTCTGGTAGAAATGTACCTGTTTTCCAGACGTGGTTGTTGTCTCCATCGTTAGCATGATGAAAGCAGAACATGATAATAAAGGAAGCAAACACCCTTGAAAAATTGGTAAACTTCTACCAGATTAAATGGTGCAACAACCCAGAAGACAGACATCATCTTCTTATTAACTTCTCAAGAAGGACTCTGTTCCTAGTTAGTTAGTGGTATACGGTGATGGAGTTGTGTGTATCTTCAGAGATGCTGGTGTACAGCTGGGGTGAAGGGAAGAGAGGTCAGTTGGGGCATGGCGATACAGAACCATGGCGACAACATCCTGGAAGCGTGGAGGCCCTAAAGGGGAAGAGCATCAACAGGTAATTCAGATAATGACAGAGTTAAATGTAATGAAATATTTGCTTTGTACCTACATTTAGTTGCCATTCTGTTTCTTTCAAGTGGTTCTCATGAAACCTTATAACATTAATTCACTTTTGACAGTGTAGGATGCATCTGTGGAAATCCCGTTACTTAAAGTTTGTAAATGTCGTCTGCGGTGCATTACTATTTGTTCTTAAACATGTCTCACTGTAGAATTAACAAACGTGCACTTGCCGACGAATGTAGTAAAATTATTTGTTGCAATTAAAGACTTCTGTGATTTTAATAATATCAATTGTGGGTGACTTCTTAGCGTTGTCAAATAATTGACTAAAATTAAAGACTTGCATGATTTTAATAACTCTATTACTGCACTGGGTGAGCACTACTGTGCTCTAAGGAGTTAGTAAAGAAATATAATGCTAAACTATTGAATCTACTGCGGCTTCTCCGGAAAGTTATTAGCAACTTCTTGGACCTTCTTAGGCACTGAAATGATGCTGTTTGTCTGTGTTCAGTGACTACGTTCTTTGTGTGAACCACCCCAACTCATAATTCTATACCATACATTCTGCCCTTTTATATTCAAGGACTATCAGAACAACTGGAATTGTGTGTTACTCTGGTTTAACCTTCATCTTTCAGTCTCTGTCGTAAGTTTAAGTAATGTGCCGTGACTTCCCTTTGTTGGCAGGATTGGAGCTGGGGATGGCTACAGTGTATTTGTCAGCGACTCAGGAATGGTGATGACGTGCGGTGATGGCACATTCGGCTGCCTTGGACATGGTGACTGGAACAACTCTACCCGACCTCGTCTCATTGGTGAGTGAATAAACTTCTCTGTTAGAAATTGCTTTCTGCAGAGATTAATTTGTAAAATATCAGGTAACGCCTTCACATTTTTAATGCCAATCTTGGAAACAAGGCTCTAGTGACTGAGTTGTAGTGATGTAATCATAATATCTGCATGGGAAGAAGTTCCTAGGTACAAGTCAGTCTGGAGGCTTGAACTTAGCAGCCCTATCAGCAGAATACTTGTCAACAGGATAGTCAATTCTCATGAGAAATTTCCGTTAAATCTATGTAGATACATTTGCGTATATTAATTGTAATGTATGGCTTTCTTTTTCAAGTTCTTTGTTGTATTATCAATGTGTAAGGTAGCCATAGTTTCTTTTAGACATAAACAGATTGCATAAGATGACATTGGTAAATTTTTATCTGCTTTTTCTGAATCTGAGGGTGAATGTAAGGAACAAAACCAGTCTAAAAATAAAATGAAATATAAAAAAAATTATTTATGCAGCCAAGGTCTTTCGAACTAACAAAAGTTTCAAAACAAAAGAGTTTAATAGAAAATAATGTTCCAGTAGCTGCAGTAACTGAAACCAACACGAAATTTAAAGGTACGAAGTGTTTTCAGAATTATACTGTTGTTTGTCGTGCATTCAATAGAAATATCAGATGTAGGATTTGAGGTTTTCATGGCAGTGAGTCTGAAGATGGCTGTCTTCTGGGTTGTTGTGTCATGTAGTCTGGTAGAAGTTTACTGACATTTTAGAGATCCTTGCTGCCTCCATCATCAGGGCAATGAGACTCATCACCCTGATGATGGAGTTAGCAGGGACCTCTGAAATCTCGGTAAACTTCTACCAGACTACATGACACAACAGCCCAGAAGACAGCAATCTTCAGAAATATCAGAGCTCAGTTGAGTAATAATTTGGATACATAAAACAGTTTCCAACTTAGTTCTGCCGGCACTATGTTTATATCTGTAATAAATTATTGTAAGGTGGAGTACAAATTCACAGAGAATACATCTGTAAACTGTTCTGTGCTACACATCTTTCTGCCTTGCAGTTAACATCAGTGCCCACATTGTTCACAGAGAAGCTGTTGAGTGTGGATGTGGTGGTTGTCGGCTGCGGTCCACATCATGTCGCAGTGCTGAGTCGAGACGGAGAAATGTACGCGTGGGGCAGAGGTGACGGGGGACGTCTTGGCCTGGGCCATGAGGAGGACTGGTACGTACTGCAAATTAGTGTGAATAGACAAAATAAGATTGAAGTGCATCCATCATTGCTCGCCCAACACCACTGTTGCTTTTGATGAAAGCACAGTTTTGTTCAAGGGGAGGGTGCCTTTCAGAACTTGCAATGAGGTCAGTAAATTTGGACTGAAGATGTTTGTACTTACTGATAGTACCAGTGGATATAAATTTATATGACTTCAAGTTGTATACTGGCAAAACTAAAAGTGTGAACTCTGATTTATTCAAAACTACACAAGTAATAAAAGAGTTGTTTTCTGCTCTTGTGAAAGACCCAACCCCCACCCCCTACAATCCACATTCACTGAAATGAACCATCGATAAATGTATTACAGCTGCTCTCCCGTGAAGGTGACACTGCCTAATGATTGTGTGCTGCGTACTCTGCGTTGCGGAGGGGACGGCACTGCAGTCCTTACAACAGATGGGGTGATGATGACCTGTGGTCGTAACTCATTCAATAAACTAGGATTATCAGACAGTAATCCAGGATTCTTCTCTTTTAATTTTAAAGTGAGTTTTATAATTTTGGTGTAGAGTTGTTAATGAGGCAGGGTAGGTCACTTGATGAAAGTGACTAGTTATGGCCTAAATGACTTGGGTTTGAATCTCAGAAGAGACTGCAAATTTAAGAATGTGTGGAGCTCTGTCTCCACTTCCCTATATATTTTCATGGTGTGCTGGTCAGGCAGAGGGGTAACTTATGTAAACTAAAGATGTTTTATCTTATTGTTTTTAATACATGTTCACTTTGAGTGCAGTCATCTGATAGAGGGAATTTATTAGATAAAGATATTTAATGTGGTATTGTAGATTCATTTTTAATTAATTTGGAAACCGCATGTATTGTGTCTGATCATGAGAATGTTTATCATTTGTCGTAAGTAGCTCATTGGCTATAGTGGGGAAAGAAAACTGATGCTGTAATTCTTATTGCAGTAAGGAAGAATTATGTTACTTGGTGACGCTTGGTGGTGTGCATGCGTGCAGTAGGATCACTTTTTTTTTTAACAAGTGGATTCCTTTTATGAAACTTGTTAGTAATTTAATGTATGGGAAGTCATCCAGAATGTTTTGGTAACCCCTGCTTTCTGTTATATCATAAGAATATAATATGTTTGAACCAGTAGCAACACTTTCAGTGTAAAATCCTCAAAAGATATAACGCTTGGTCTCTGAAGTATATGAAAGTTTGCTGATATAATGTGTGCCAGTAATGGCAGGGCTGTTTGTATCTCTTTTCGAATAAGCATGTTCGTTTGTATATTGTTCGTGTGCAAAGCAGTGTCGGAGTTCGTTCTTGATTTGCACTGGATGTCTGCCTTCTCTCCCAAGAGTGGCACTCATTCTTTAAGACAATGTAAATCTGTGGGAGAGATGACCGTGCTTAAACTGAGACAGACATTTTTGATTGGGAAGAGAAATTTCCAATAATATTTATGTATAAAATTAGTACATGTTTTTATTCAGTGAAGGTCCTTTGGCAGTACTATTACATCTGCTGCAGACAGTATTAAGTGTTATGGTTATCAATTATAATATTATAAGCCAGTACGTAAGGAGCAAATAATGCTATTGACAATTAATTTTTTAAGAGCAAATCTATGTATAGTGAGGTACTGTGTGCTAGGGTATATTACTAGTAATATATAAGGAAAGGTACTTAATAATAAATGTTTGGCTTATTTACATTGTTTCCCTCCAGGGTGAAGTTGAGAAAGCGCTGACACTCAACCGAGTGAAGGGGATCAGTTACAAAGTTGCTGACATTTCATTGGGCTCTACCCACACAGCTGTCCTGACTGAGAGTGGCCATGTTATTACGTTTGGGCGCAATGCAGAGGGCCAACTGGGAAGAGGACACCGGAGATCAGCATCATCAGGGCCAATGATGGTGAAGTCAATGGCAGATAAATGTGTCACTGTAAGTACTTTTTGGTGTAAACCAAATGTCGTTTGATGCAGCACCCATTTGCATTACAGAAATGGTCACTATGAATTGAAACCAGTAAAGTCTTTTAAGATGTTTTCACTCTGTGGGTTAATTTAAAAGATTATACTATAATTGTAAGATGATTAATCTTATAATTACACTAAATCCTTATGAGTACATGTTCATTCAACACATTTGCATTAATGCTGTTGTTCAACTAATATCCTTTTTAGGCAGAGCACTTATTAAAATGTCTTGTTTCTCCAGCCATCCATATTTATATATATATATATATGTACAGAATACCCCACTTAATGGTACCTGCACCTTGTCGTGGTGGTGGGGCTTGAACACCTCAGTGGTACCAAGAGCTATGCTGGCGGTAGCATAGCTACTGGTAGGGCCTCCCTAGCCAGATTGGTCGAGGGGGAGAGGTCAGACTAAGACAGGTACCCTGGTCCTCCGGGTTGGGGGTTGGTTCCAAGGCTAACAACCTTGCACCATAAAAAGGAAGATGTTTCGAAACCTCGATCAAAGCCTCGGACAGAGTACCGAATGGAAGAGGAGAATTGAGGAGGCCATGGGCCGAATACAGACTGGAGAGCCATAGAAGAAGATGTACAGAATGTATATAAATTATCTTTACAGCTTTTCCCGTGAATAAACTTTGGGGCTGTCTGCAATGTGCTTCATTGTAGCATTAAGGTGTTCTGATCCCCACATGAATACATTTTGTTTATCTTCCCTAAAACATGGGGTGTGGCCTCATCAGAGAACATGATTTTCCTCTAGTAATAGTAAGTGGACAGACCTGATTATTCTGGTTTTCTTCTGGGAATATGGTCCGTGGGGGAGCCAGGGTAGCTCAGTGAGTATAATGACTCTGGGGCCCACCCAGCCTCCTCTCCAATGGGTACCGGGGTCCTTTCCTAGGGATAAAGTGCAGCCGGGGTGTGACACTGACAACTCACCCCCATCTAGTCCTGAGGTTAAGAATGAGTTGGAGTTGTACCTCCTCTCCCCTTAAATGCCTACATGGCGTGTAGCAGGATACCTTTACTTTACTTTTTTACATGATTCATGGTCAAAGGAGTTGACAAGCCCCAGTTTTAAAACATTGCAGTTTCTTAGTTTATATGTGTGAGAAGAATCTGCAAATTGGTGTAATAATAAATTGATTGTTATTTTGTAACAGATGGTTCAGTGTGGCCCAACATACACTGTAGTGGGGTCTATTGAGAATACTGTCTACTTCTGGGGCACTCGATACAGTTCATTCAATTACCAGGTATGTCGAGCAACCCTATGAAGCAAGCAAAGTATAGTAGAAATCCATTGTTCAGAGAGTGTCAAAGCATTCCGAAGAAAATTATCATTATCATGAATACTTGTTATACTTATTAAACATATTGAGAGATAAAAATTCCTTGTGCTGCTTGGTCGCGGGGACCGTGGGTTCGAATCCCACTCAAGCCATTGATTTTTTTCTGTGTTGTGCTGTCCTGTGTACAACAAATGATGTTTGTCTCATACTTTTAATTTTTTATGGATGTAAGGTTCTTAAAACCTTTACATAATATCAAACATAAGAGGTGGGATTTTGGATTCTCATAATGTTGAGTACGAAGATGACAGCCTTCTGGGATATTGCACCGTGTAAGAAACGTCATTGCTTCTAGACGTTAATTAAATAGGGTTATCAATGTATTTGCTATTGAGTACAGAGGACACTTTTTCAGGTTACTGGCATATATTAAAAATGTTTTCTCTCTTCTTCCAGGATTTGATGGGAAACCCAAAGATGAACCTGGAGATGTCAGGTGGCTGGTCTCATTCCAAGTCTACAAATAAATTCCATGATCATTTGTTATATGGCTCACAGGTGAGAACATCAGAACCAGCATGCTACTGTGTAACCTCGACATTTGATATTGCACTATTAAAACTGATTCCTGAAATAAAATACAGCTTTACAGGTGATACCTGTGTCATCTACAGCTTGAATTTAAATACAAGCTGTGAAGTAAGAAAGGGGGAAATATAAGCACAGAGCATTGTGAAAATGTTGCCATTTCTTATTGGCTTCCATAAGTTTGTGTTGACGTTATTATTTACTATTGCAGACTGGATCACAATACACCAGCATCCTCATTGAGTCGGCTCTACACTCTAATCATTTGACTGAAATTCTTCTAGAGCCACAGGAGATTTTAGCGTAAGTATAGTCAACTCAGTAGTTTTTGGCCGGTGGAGTTTTCAAGGGGAAGGCTAGGAGGAAGACACTTGTGCGATAGTTTAATGATTTGTCTGCCCGTTTTACTTGAATTTTAATTTTACAGTAATGTCTGTATAATCGTGGCACGTGAAAAGTGAGGAACTATAATTTGAATGTACCGTATGGAATGTATAACAAAATAGAACATTTATTTGCAGTAATTAGCTAGTCTGGCGGTAGAGCTTGCCAAGACTTATCCATAGAAGTCTGAACATATCCGAATGTGTCCAAACCACAGTAAACCTGTCAAAACTTTTCAAAACCTCTCGAAAACCATCCAAACACGTCTAGACCTCTCTGAATGAGTCCAAACCATAGTAAACCTATCAAGACTAGTTATACGAACAAACTCGATGGTTGTCCTGCACATTATGCACACGTAGCGAGACAAATATTTCATGGACATTTTCCTGATTGGACATGGTAGACCTGTGGGGGCTGCCACCACTTTCATCACATTTATCCCCATTATTTTTCTTTTTTTGGGGAACAACAGAGGATATGTTTTATCAAGAACTACTAGCCACATTAGAATAAACGCAGCAGTGCATTGTTGCAGTGTGCGCTGTTGTATCACTTCAAAATTTGCTGTCTGTGATTTGCTCCTTAATTGAACATGTCTGAAAGTTTATAAGCGCCAGTGGTCACCAATCTTAAGTTATTATTATTAATTTTGTGCTAAGATTACTATTTTCAATGTAAATACGTACTAATGCATTTGTCTCTCTTGCTTTGAATGGTGACATCTCAGCGATGGTTCATCAAAAATGAATGTTTTGTGTGACTAGTCTCAAATCTGGCTGTAATTCTATCTTAAAAAATAAAATGGGTTCCAATTTAAAGAACAGAGGGTAACCTTGACAACTTCATAACAACAATTCCATGATTAATAATTTACCACTTAATGTATACACCATTAGACTGTTTTAATTTTATTTGAAACGTTTTTGTGTATGTATTAAAATGAAAGAAATATTTGAGGTCACAAAGTTAGGTGAGACACTGTGTGTTGCTATCATAATGCATGCGTATCATGTCTTCGTTTGTTTATTTTTGGTTCCAGATTAGAGGGCTCTTGGACATACGTCACATCCAAATATGATCAATATTCACAGAATGGGGAAATGCATTGAAATAGAATGTTTGCTTATTGACGATACTGTGTGCTTTTATACAGTGTGACAGAACTTGTTATTATGTGTCACATTGACATTGGTAATCCATAATTTCACAGGTTTCACGAGTCCTATTGCCTAAACTTTCATTGTGTTCAAATCACATACCCCCTAGATGTTACCACTCACTCACAGTTTCTGTTACCTTACTTAATTCTATTTTACAGATTCTCCCATTTATTTCTTAGTCATCCAAGTGACCTCTTTCCTAAAGTGTTCCTCACAGAAATTAATTACAAATTTCCCATCTCCCCTATTTACTTTCCTAAAGTGTTCCTCACAAAAATGAATTACAAATTTCCCATCTCCCCTATTTACTAACACATATTCAGCCATTACAGTCTCACCCAACATCATGGTTGAGTGGTTAGTACGCATTCTGCATATTTGGGGGTTTGTCAGTCTAGAGGTTGGTTATCCTGACTGTGTCTGTGGTCTTTCTGCAGTCCCTCCAGGAACCGTTGAGAGTGTGACTGCTTCCGTCTAAATCCTTATCACAAATCACTCTAACATAAAAAGCCATGAAATTGTAGTTTAGTATTGCTGCTAGATGTCACTTGAGTAGTGGGGCTGTTTATTTACCAGATTGTATGCATCAGCCACTCAGATTGAAAAAGGTGAAACAGTGTGCTTGGCCGGGCTGTACCCCATGAGGTACAGTTTGCTCGTACTTGTGGACACCACAGTTCCGTTGGCACACCTGCAACCGCAGCCCACGTCGGTCCACCATAGTAACAGAACAAGAGATGGGAATCGTGGAAGCTCTGGCAGTGAGGAAGACAGTGCGGAGGAGGAGTCTGCACAAGGAACTGATTTTGATAGCCTTGGACCGGTGAGAAACTGAACTGATTGCAATTTCTTGAATTTCACTGGAGAACAGGTAGTGAACAAGGCCTTGGGGTAGGAAGACAAGACTCTTTTTGAAGTGACTGCTTAGATGAAGATTTTTCTATGCACAGACTGCAACCTTCTCCTGTACTGGAGTAAATTAGATTGCGTAAATATGAAGAATACTCCCCCCCCCCTCCAACAACTCCTGCCATCTACAGTCCACACACTTTATTCACACCTTTCGTACATTCCCTTCTGTTTGCCTTCATATGTGCCCAAGTCATCAACGCTTGTCCACAGCAGGATAGTTAAATTACCTTCTTCTAGTACCCCCTTTAATTCATTTTAGTAAAAATGTTGTGTTGTGTTTAGTCGAGAAACTGAGAACAACTATTACACCAGCAATCAATGTGGATGTTCCAGTGGTACCGATGTTGACATTTCCCACTTTTCAACTCTCCGGCCCTTACAAAACCAGCCGAATAGAGTAAATGTTCAGCACTGCTTAGCTTAGTCCAAGACCTTTACCCGATATTACATTTCTGTGAGACTACATCAATATTTTTACGCACTATTGTAATTCTTGGAATCATAGATATATGAAACTTCTACATGTTTGCTCCTGGGAACTCCATATTCTGTGTGCCATTTGAAATTAAGAATGTTCAGTTATCTTTAGGCTGCATATCCCTTCTAGAAGAATGACTTTTCATGTTTGGCAGTCACGGTCCCATGACGGGATCACTTTATGTAATCAGAATGTTCCCATTAGAATAGTCATCTTTTTAAAAAAGGTTAATCATGTTTATTTCCTAAAGATGTTTTCAAGACACCACGTGTGATAGCTGCTGGTTTTCACAAAGTTATTGAGTGTTGCAATTATTTTTCATTGTAGCCAAGCCACTGACATCCCCTACCATGACCAAAGATATTTCTTCATCATTCTACAGCTCAAGCTGTAGAAAGAAGCGATAAGAACTCTTAAGGAGAAAATATCACATTCCACATTGAACTGTTCTCAGTTCTATAGAAGGCATAATTCATTTTTGAGACTATTCTATTTTTTAATATGGATGATGTAATGTTATCACAAGTGTATTGGAAATTACATACGCTTGTCATATTTCTTTCAGAAGTATGGTGACAAGGCACTTTTTATTGCCTTTAAAATCATTTAGTCACGAAAGACTTTAAATGCCAGTTCCGTGTAATGAAATGAAATCTGGCGGAGAACTAACGTTTCAAAGCCGTCTTAATAATTCTGTGTAATTAACAGTCCTTTCTCTCTGTTGTTCTTTTAAGCATGTTATCCAGACAACTCCGATGCATGTATACTGACCACTACATTCCTTATTTGGCAGCTTTAGTCATGCTTAAGAAACAAATGTAAATTGCTGTTTTATTTCTGTAGGTTCCAGAATGGATCAAAGCTGAATTAGCCCAGTCTGAAGCGATGTGGACAGGATTTTCAGAAGCACATTCCAGTGCAAGGTGAGTGGCGTGTTTGTGTAGGATTTTGGGGGCAGAGAAACCACGCAGTTATCAAAGCTTGAGAACAGTGAATCTCAAAGGCACAGGCAACATTTTCTCTGTATCAACGTGCTTATATAAGTTGTCTTCAGTATGTCAATTTCAACGATATATCCAGTGCATGTGTTCTATGTATGTATATCTCACGGTAAAATTCTGGTACACGATTATCTGAATCAAACATCATACACAGAAAGATATCTTAACCCTATAAAGCCTGGTGTTAAGTATACGTACCACCTGCTTAACATTCAACAACTCTGTATTTTTCCCATAGAACATATCTATTGATTTCACATTACTCTCAGAATAGACAGCACTTATATCCT